CGGAAAAATATTTCAAACAAAAGTTGTATGGTTCGGAGGGGGACATAAGATGGTGCAATTGGCTTGACCCTGGATAGTCGTTTAAAAGTGATCTTCAATTTCTTAAATGGAAACCTCCATTTTTCATTGTATATTCTTGTAGCTTATCTCGAGGGCTTTCCAAAACACTATGATAAAGTATTTTTTCATTAAGTATCTTTCGAATTAAAAGGCTTCAAAATTACAATATTGTTCCCATTAGCATTGGACCCGACGAAGCATTGTGATCTTCATATGATCCTTTAGAGTCAATCGGACTCCACATGTTACCCCATGATTTTAAATTATTATTTTTGTTTTCACTGTAAAATGTGAAGAAATGAAAATATTAGGAACAGCCTCCAATCGCTTTGACCTTGAGAAATGTTGTCAAGGTCATTGCCCTGAACATTCAAAAGGTTTTAGCCGTCGGTCGAACACCTTAGGTACCAATACTAATAGCAACAATATTGTAATTTTGAACCCTTTTAACTCGAAAGATATTGAAAAAATATTTTATTATAGTGTTTTGGAAAGCTCTCGAGGTAAGCTACAAGAATATGCAATGAAAAATGGAGATTTCCATTTAAGAAATTGAAGGTGACCTTCACGTGACTTTCAAACGACTATCCAGGGTCAAGCCAATTGCACCATCTTATGTCCCCCTCAGAACCATACAACTTTTATTTGAAATATTTTTCCGTATCTTCCATATTTTTCGAGATATTTGCCTGATTCGATTAAAATGACTTACTCTGTATATATACAGGGTGTTTCAGACTTCCATGATGACCCTTTGTGAAAACGTAGAACGGATTGAGGTGAGCAAGAAAGTCCTGTGCCGATATTCGCAATAGTTTTCGAGAAATTATTTTGTCTCAGCTAATGAGAGCAGAGGAAACAGCAGCCGAAAGAGAGATGTCTTCGGCCGGCGCGCGACCGTGATACACGCGAATCGCGGCTTGCTGCGTCTCTTCGTAGCTCCGCCGTGCTAAGGAAAAAAGTAGTTAACTACATTTACCTTTAAACTGAGAAAATCGATGAAAACTATTTGCTTAGAGAATCGTAATGGAAAAGTAAATCTCTATGAATACAAAAGTATGTATTGGGTAATCGGATACGCTTTTTTAATTTTGTAATGAAAAATTAATTTTTTAAATATTTACTACTCGAAAATGTACTTAAGCTTCTTGCTTTTTGAAAATACAAGAGAAAAAAAGTCGCAGTGACTTAATAGTTTACAACATAAGAAATCCGTAATTACAAAAGCTTTTCTTTTGTAATCAGGACGCTTTACCAATGCTTTTGCTAGAGAATAAAAGTATTAATGGATGTTGTGGTCTTTTTCACGTATATTTTTGTGACGTGTTGGACGCTTCGTACAATTTTTTTGTTAATTACGGCTTCTTTTCTGATTGTCATATTCGAAACTTTTACCTAAAGTTAACTCGTTTTTATTTTAATAAATAATAATTTTTAGTTTTTGTCAATACAGTTAGACGTAGTTCTTAGTCACGAATTAGTCTATTAATATAAAAAACTCATTTTTCTTAAAAATGTGACTTAACCACTTTTTTCCTTGGCACGGCAGAGCTATGAGACACAGCGTGACTTGATACACTAACACACGTACATGACATATCTATGTGCCGAGTTGACGCCGAATTGCCACACGGATATGTCATGCACATGTGTTAATGTATTAAGTCTCGCTGTATCTTGTAGCTATGGGCGGAGGGACGCAATAAGCCGCGATTCACGTGTATCACGGTCGCACACCAGCCGAAGACATCTTTCTTTCGGCTGCCCCTTCCCGAGCGCTGATTTGCTCGTACAAAATAATTATTCAAAAATTATTGCAAATTTTGCAAAATGGTATATGACTTTTCTGCTCCGTTTAATCCATTCTACTTTCCCACGAATTGTTCTAAGAAAGGTCTCAGACACGCACGCACGCACGCACGCACGCACGCACGCACGCACGCACATATACAGGGTGAGCCATTTTAATCGACGGGTCCAAATTGCTCCTAAAATACGCCAGCTACAAAAAATTGGTTAAGACAAGAATTGTAGAGGACAACGGGGGTCATTTTACCGTGCTAATAATTTTGACCTTCAGATCAATTTTCAAGGTTATTCGAAGGTCAAAGTCATTTTTTTTTAATTAGAACCCCTATTTTTGACACTGGATTCGAAAAGAGCAGAAAATTTTACGTTAAAAATGATATTTAGATTTTTTTCTGAGTTCAAGAAAGTCAAATAAAAAATGATTAAAAACAACTTAGAAGCTGTTAATGTTAATTTTAAAGAATTTTATGCATGATAAGTGTTTCGCGGTACTAACAAGTACTAATGAAAGAAAAGTTGCGAAACGTCATTCCATTTCCGAAATTGATGCGCAATAATCTCACTTTGATATGATTATTAATAAGGCATAATAAATAAAATTTTAAAAGTAAAAACAAACACTTGTGCCTTGAAGCAAACGAAGGCAAATTTGAACAGTTACTCCGTGGGTCATTATGATAAATTGCAGTTATGGTGAGAGGCAAGGGGACTCACGATAATCAAGCACCCCAAAGGAAACAGAACTTACTACGTCCACGTCGTTGTTTCCGGGTAACGCTAAAAGTATTGAATTAACGTCTTCCAAGTTCTTGATTTGACCTTCTTGGGCTCAGAAAAAAAATCTAAATATCATTTTTAACGTAAAATTTTCTGCTCTTTTCGAATCCGGTGTCAAAAATAGGGGTTCTAACTTAAAAAAATGACTTTGACCTTCGAATGACGAAAATCGATCTGAAGGTCAAAATTTTTAGCACGGTAAAATGACCCTCGTTGTCCTCTACAATTCTTGTCTTAACCATTTTTTTGTAGCTAGCCTATTTTAGGAGCAATTTGGATCCGTCGATTAAAATGACTCACCCTGTATATGTATGTGTGAAACTTTCTCATGAACAACTTATATATATATATATATGTGTGTGTCTGTGTGTGTATGATCTATTATTACTTACCCTGTAATGTCGCATTTCTTAAAAAATTCAAAGAACTTTCGAAGCTCATTTGCTGTAATGGCGAGGCAGAATTTTCCATTCCTTTACGACTAAGTGGTTGAAATGTGCCATCAAACGTCATGTAGTCTGCTATTAATGATAGATGTCTAGAATCAACAGTGATACCATACATTTTGAAGACATCTCTTACTTCTCTTATAATGACTCTATTTGCAGCTTCGATTCCATATGTTTGAGAGATATTATAGATGTCGTTGGAGTACAATTTATTTAAATTAAGGATATTGTCATATTTAAACATTTCCTGTGAGAAAATTAATGATATTTATGAGAAATATAGAGGGATAAGTTTTTTTATATACAAACAGTTTATAATTCAAATTTCACTTACCACTATATTCAAACCATCTGTTTTGAGAATTGTCTCTCCTTCGTTATTTTGGAAAGTAAAGGCTTTCTTGATATATGGAGTTTCCCATAAAATAGTCTTGTTCGCAACATTTCTAATTATCGTTGGTAGATCTAATTTTATCATCTTAAGCGGTAACTAAAATGTGGGATTGAATAACTAGATTATTATTTGCTCTTGTTTCTTATATTAATGTACGATTTACAAGCAACAGAATGAAAGGAGGGTATAATCTTTTCTAGGTGGTTCCGCGACCGCTCGGGGATTGTTTTATATATATATATATATATATATATATATATATATATATATATATATATATAT